GAAATCTTAAGACAGCTAATTTGGCTACATGTGTGACAAGGAAAGTTAATGTATTAAAAGGAAAATGATAGAGTCATACACCATATAATGATGTTTCAGTTAACGAAAGACTGCATATACAAAGGTGGACCCATAATGTTATAAAGAAGCTAAAAAGTTTCTATTACCTTTGTGACATTATAGCCAGTATAACATAAATACAGTACAAAGGGCGGCATCGTGACACTGTGGGTTAAGCCGCCACCTGCAACATTTGAGTCCCCCTGCTCCACTTCCAATCCTGTTCCCTGTTAATGTGCCTGGAAAAGCAGTAGAAGGTGGCCCACGTGCTTGGGCCCCCTGTACCCACGTGGGAGACCCAGATGAAGTTCTTTGTTCTTGCTTCAAACTGGCCCAGCCCAGCCATTGTAGCCATTTGGGGAGTGAACCAGTACATGGAGGATTCATTCTCTTTCTCTCTCTCTCTTTCTCTCTCTCTCTTTCTCTCCCTCTCTTCCTCTATCCCCCCTCAACTCTGCTTTACAAATGAAATAATCAAATTTTAAAAAGAAAAACTTCATTGCACAATGTATTACATGCTTGTGACATAATTAAACTTACTCGGCTGCCAATTGTATATAAGTATAGCACATACATCTATATAATACTTAATAAACAACTGTGCTGCTGGCTTATGTATTGAATATAATCTTATAGATTTAATATACTTTTTATCATTGTTTTAGAGTATTCCACCTCTACTTATAAAAAGCAGGTTTACTGTAAACAGGATACTGTGTTATGCTGGCAGAAGCCTCATCTATCTCATGTTTATCATGTGCCCTGATTGCATCAAGAGGGCACATCAAGTGATTGACCTACTCTATCTCAGTTTATGGACATATACTCCACAATGATCACACAATGAAGAAATTGACTAATGTCACATTTCTAAGAATGAATGTTGTTAAGTGATATATGACTGAACATTAAAATATATTGAATTATCCATTTCTTCTCCATTTATTCTCATTGATGATGTGATTAGAGGAGTTATGCCCCTAAAGAAATGTCCGTTCTCTAAGTCCCTGGACTGTGAACATAGTTATGGGGTATCATACCCGTGGATATTTTGTCTTCAATGGCAGTAAACACTTTGCAGATAATTTTAAGGTTAGTAAATAAGGAGACTATATTGGATTATTTGAGTGGATCCAGTATAATAATATGGCTCCTTTAAAAGCAAATGTAGGAGAGGGAGTCATATTTGAATTTTGAGAAGGACTTCTTGACACCATTGCTGGGTTGCAGATTGTAGGGATCACAGGAGCAGAAATGCAGATGACATTTAGGACCTGAGAGCAGCTCCCTGTCAGCAAGAAAACAGGGACCTCAGGTCCTACAACTAAAAGTAACTGAATTCTTCCAACAGTGAATGAGTACAGAAGAGGAACCCGAGCCCCAGAAGTATAGCCCCAACCAGCCCTCTGATTTTAGCCAACTGATAAGTCTAAACAATTTTAAAAGGCTGTACTGGATTTCTGATCTACATAAACACATATAACAGATGTAATGTTTTAAGCAACTATATTCATGGTAATTTGTGATGCTTTAGTAGATAACTAATACAAGGGGATAAAGATAACATTTTTACTGTGTTGATCAAGATTTGACTTTTTCTTTAATGACTCCAACATTCAGAACATGCTAGCTTCTGTGATAAACAATCCCATGCTTTTCTTGCTTTAATACCATAAAAGATTTACATCTCTCATAGCTAACAATCTAATTGAATTTTTAACAATGAATTCAATCTATGTAGTGATTTATAGACCACGCTGTAATCTCTTGGGACTTAGCATCTTCTGCAGGTGTTTTTCAAAATCAAGCTTAGAAGTGATAAGCATCACTTTACTAACATTCAATTAAACAAAGGCATCTTCACAAACCTTGATGCAAAGGGCAAGGGGAGGTTCATCTAGCTTTTTTGGTGTTTAATTTAGGAAGTGAAAGCGCATTTGGAAACAGCCAGTTTTTTTCTTCCTACAGTCTTGGGATCTGAGGGTACAAGGTAATAACATCTGAGAATTGACATATTTTCCCAATTTTTACCAAAAATAAGACTAACATATTCTAGGAAAAACATTTGGAGCATGACAATATTTTGATATTGTATTCCCTTTAAGTAAATCATCAATGCTTTGCAACTCCACAGTCTTTTATATCCTGTCTTGTAAATAGGTACCTCACACATTCAAATTCCCTTATTTGCTTTTTTAAAATATTTATCTGTTTATTTGAAAGGCAGAGTTACTGAGAGAGAGAGAGAATCTTCTACCTACTGATTCACTCCTCAAATGGCCACACAACAGCCTGGGCAGGGTCAGGCCACAGCCAGAAACCAAGAGCTTGCTCTGGGTCTCTGATGTGGGTGCAAAGGACCAAATGCTCAGGCTGTTTTGCTTTGCCCTCCCAGGCACATCAGCAGGGATCTGGATCAGAAGTGGAGCAGCCAGGACATGATCTGGCTCCCATATGGTATGTCAGCATTGCAGGTGACAACTTTCTCTGCTATGTCACATTGCTGGCCACATCTTATTGGCTCTTAAACATAGTTGATTTTGTCAAGCTAGACCCAAACTCACTGATGGGAGAATATTAAGTGTCTCAGAAAGGGGAGTGAGTGAGAGGGAAATGCCTTTGAAAAAAAGAAAAGAGGGATTCTTTTCGACTGGAAAGATTACTGTGGACTCTTAAGAGACTGGAAGCTTCCGACCTGCTCCCTAGTATCTCCCTCAGAGGGACAGAAAGATCTCAAAAAGGACAGTTTTTTGTCACATTCTCACCTTGCAGTTCTAGGTCATAGTTGTCTTGTTCCTTCAATTTGAGGTAAAGCCTCATGTTCCAAGTGTAATGTAAAAGCAACAAGTTCACAAACACATGGAGTCTATTTGAGCTGGGTCAGTGAATTTCCTGGAGCTTACTGGTATGGATTAGTCACTGATGACAGGAACTCTCTAATGTTTTGACACTATTTACAACCCCAAGCTCCTTGTACATGTGTATGTAAATGTATATGTGTATATGTTGGGTAGCTGTGGAACTGAAATAATGTGAATGACTGAATGGATTGGATTACCAGAGAATTTGTTAAGAAAATAATGTTTCCTGAATAGCTGACCTTGTAGATTGATAGGTAAGCCCAATAAATAAGCAACACGAAACATTCGATTATCTAGCTGAAACAAGAAGTGAGAATTATTATTGGGAAATTACAGTAGGCTGAATACAAGGTGGTGGCAGTTTAGGGACTGAAGGCTAATTCAAGAGTACCATTATCAAGCAATCTTGAGAAGCTCAGGAAACAAACCCTTAGTACAAAGGCAAAGGCAACAATGGGCATATAGCCAATATCTTTACCTCTGTATGTCAGCATCCTACTTGTCATAACTTCTCCACTCATCTCTGAGAGTCCAAGGTTTCCCTGGTGCCTTCAAAAATTATTTATTGGATGCCTATTTGGAGCAAGACTTTCCTGAATTCTGCAGAAGATACAAATATGACACAGTCTGAATCATTCACAAGAAGGTGAGGGAACTACAATAATGCATGTGATTTCACAAAAGAAGGAAATAGGGGACAGATTCCCTAGAAATGCACATTTTAGAATTTTTTGAACCAGGAAGAGGAAAAAGTGGAAACCAACAGGAGTGATGAAAGCTTCAAAAATAAGGGAAGACTGCCAGTGCCGTAGTGCACTTGGTTAATCCTCTGCCTGCAGCGCTGGCATCCCTTATGGGTGCCGGGTTCTAGTCCCAGTTGCTCCTCTTCCAGTCCAGCTCTCTGCTGTGGCCCGGGAAGGCAGTGAAGGATGGCCCAAGTTCTTGGGCCCTGCACCCGCATGGGAGACCAGGAGGAAGCACCTGGCTCCTGACTTCGGATCAGTGCAGTGCCAGCTGTAGCGGCCACTTGGGGGGGTGAACCAACGGAAGGAAGACCTTTCTCTCTGTCTCCCTCTCTCTCTATGTCTCTACCTGTCAAATAAATAAAAAAAAAAGAAATAGGGGACTGACAACTCCAGATGTATCAAAGAGATGGGAAAGATGTTTGAAAAAAATGTGTTGAGGTTTGGAAGATGAAGTGTAACTGATGGCTTTGATAAATTAGAAGCAGTGAATGCAAATATTTGGAAGGAAGCTAGAGTTTCACTTAACACAGTTTTTCATACTTTCTATTATTACATCTGCATCTCTGCCGTTCCCTGACCTACTTTCTTGTCTCAAAATGTGCTTTATTTCTCCCGCATCCATCAGAACCTGTAATTATTGACACATTCTATCTTACTAGTAATTAAATAAACTTAGCATATATATATATATATACTCTCAACATAAACTTAAGGAAAATAAATGAGATGACTGGAAATAGAAAAATATGTTAATAGTGGACATGATCAAATTGATTCTTTTGATTCTTGAGCTCTTAGAGAGCCTACATAGATTTCTCTCTAGTTGACTTTATGAATCCCAATAATATTCAAAGGAGAAGAGGAAGCCAAAATATGAGCACTATAGAGAAGTAAGTCCATTAAATATTAAGTTGTAAAATAGATTGGTGATCATAAATTGAAACACTAATTTTAATAACAGAAAGTTTATATTGGAGGGTTGATGTTTGGCTTACTGGCTAAGATAACGATTAAGACACCCATGTCTCTTAACAGAATGCCTGGGTTCAGTGTGTAACTTTGGCTCCTGATTCTGGCTTCCTGATAATGCAGACCCTGGCGGGCAGCAGATGGTGACTCAGGTGGTTGGATCTCTGCCACTCACGCAGGGGGCCTGGACTGAGTTTCCAGCAACTGGCTTTGGCCTGGCCAGCCCTGGACACTATAGGCATTTGCAGAGTGAACCAGCAGATAGGCGCTCTATCTGTCTGTCTCTCTCTGCCTCACAAATAAAAACAAGTTTACATGTGAATTATCCCCCCACCAAACTCCACCAGAAAGTTCTAAACTAGTGTCAACATTTGTTTTGTTGCCGTTTTATTTTAATTAAGGACAAACTCTTTGAGTGTTCCGCATGCCCTTAATTTTCTGGCGAAGTGAATTGGGTAACAACCACAGCAGAGAACATACATTAAAGGGGACTATTTTGATTTTCTCTCATTTGGTTCCATTATTGATGGCTTTGTGACATTTAGTGGACTCTGCACGTTAGTCAGACTCTTCAGATTGCTGTTGATCTTTTGAATGACAAGAGGAGGAAAGGAAATTCAGATCTTCTTTATATGAATCTGAGCAAACTGAAGCATTCTGTTGCACATCTTGTTCTGAACCTATATTGGAAAAACAAGGTATATGTGTGTCTTGTGCTAAGCTTTGAGAAGAAGAAGGATGACAGTCTGGCTTCATGTCCTCTGATTGCTGATCCACTGGTTTTTGACTTCTATATTTCCTCTCCCCTTGTTTGATATCTCTTGCTTGCATGCTGCTTGTTTGTGTATCTTCTTGGAGTATAAATCTGAATAGAAAGTTTTGTTTGTTCTTATCTTGATTCTGACTGTTTTGACATAGCATATCTTGCAATTTCTGACCAAACCTGTATCTTGCTGTGGTGTGCTGAGTTTGGACTTCTGGGTGTAGAGTTTTCTGCTTCAGGGCTTCTTCCTCTAATCGATCTTGGATTTGCCCAGCCTGGGTTTCCCAGTTTAAGGAATGCTGCATTTCAAACTGCCATTCTTGCGATTTCCAGTCTCTGGTTTGCCAGTCTTGATTTCTCCAGTCTTGATATTGCTTGCCAGAAGATTGCCAGTTTTCAGTTGTCCAGTCTGGTGTCTCCTCTTCTGGAGATTGTGAGTCTTGGTGTTGCTGAATGTGGGATGCCCAGTATTGACATGGCTGCCTCGAAGCTTTCTCTGCCAGAGTTTTCTCTCCATCAGCTTGCCAGTTGGTGGGTGGTTCCCGTGGGGATTTTTCCTCTCGAACCTGCTGGTCTTCAGTTTGTTGATATTGAGTTTTTTCATTCGGGGATTGCTCCTTAGTGGCCAGTTGATCTTCAATTTGTATGTCTCTGGATTGTTCTTTTGAGAATTGTCCTACTTTGGCCTGCTGATCCTCAGCTTGCTGATCTGAGAGTTGCTCTGAGGTTTGAGTGTACTGGGTTTTCTTATCTATAGAATGCCTCTTTGGGGATAGCCAACCTTTGATTTGATGGTCTTTGGATTTTTGTTTTGCAGTTTGTGAGTCTTTGGGCTGCAGTTCTAAGGAAAGCCTCCTTGGAGACTGCCCACCTTTGGTTTGCCAGTCTGAGGAATGCCGTCTTGGGGATTTCTTGCCATGGAGTACTCCTTCATAGTTCCATTCTTGAGTTAGTTCCAGGACTTCTGATCGAATGTCCTGATATGATATTTGTGAAAGCTGAAGGTTTTCAGCTTGAATGTCCTGTGGTTGAAGATCTGGGGATTGCTCAGGTAGGTGTTGTGTGTTAGGAATCTGCACAGTATAGGGTGTTAGTGCTTCATACAGTGCAACTTGTGCTGGTAGAGCTTGAGATGGTATATCTTGGGAAGGCGTGTATTGTGATGATGTATCTTGGGATTTGTTTTGAGATGTGTCTTGAGATGTCATGTTTTCAGATGCTGTATTTTGGGATGGTCTGTCATGGGATGGTATGCTTTGGGATTTTGTACTTTGGGATTGTGTATCTTGGGATAGCGTATATGCAGGTTGCGTTTCTTGGGACATTATATCCTGGTATAACATGCTTTCTAATGGTGTGTCTTGGGATGACATATATACAGGTTGCACATATTGGGCTATTGTATCTTGGGATGGTATGTCTTGGGAGGGTAAGTCATCAGATGTCAAGTCATAAGACTGTATAATATGGGATGATGGAGATTTATAGGACATGGCTTGTGCTTGTTGGCCTTGCAGTAGCAAAGCTTGGGATGGCAAATCATCAGGTGGTAAAGCTTGGAGGTCTTGTACAGAATCAACTAGAAAATCTTGGAATAAGAAGTCTTTATCCTGCAGCGGCTGAGTTTGCATTTGGGGGGATTTTGCCATAGTATATTCTTTAACTACTTTTTTGAATTTTCCAGTTTTAGAATCTGGCTTAGTGTATGTAGCATAATCTGAGATCCTTTGCTCTGATATGGGAGGCAATTGTTTTTGTGCAATGTCTTCCTCCAAATATTTAAAAGATATAGGGATATTCTGGTGTTGTCCATGCGGCACAGAAGCAGAAGTGCTTTCATAATTATCCCTACCAGTATTACATGGTTGGGAACCAGAAGGAATTCTTGAGACTTTCAACTTATAGAAAGCATAGCTTCCAAAGAAAAAAATCTCTGTTTTTGTTGCATCAGTACTTGTAGATGCTTCTTGAAGCTCAAATTTTAGTTGAACATTTTCCTCTGGAGCAGGTTGTTCACTATTTTGCATAACATCTTCAGGCAAGAAAAATACAACCTATAAAATCAAGGGGTAGGAGAGACATTAATATGACAGAATCATATTTGATGTTGTTTGTGTAACACCAAAATATTTTTATCTCTGACTTAAGACAGTAGATATATAAGACAGGAAATAACATCTAGTTGAAGAATCAAAAAGCAAGTGTGAATCTAGCCTTTGCTATCATTAATTGGCATTATTTTGGGCAAGTCTTTACCCCTTATCTCAAATATTGAATAAGTAATTTGATTAATATTTTTCAAATATTGTCCCTGTAATTAATATTATAAAGCTTCTAAGACATTTTAAGTCACCCAGTCAACATTCATGTATTCAGATTTAATCTATAATATTTTATTGACAAATAGATGAACTAAGTATTAAAAATCAAAAATAGTCAGAAATGATTTTCTCTTAAGGTGTTCACAATTACAGGTAAATGAACATATAAGAAGATAATTATAGGGCCAGCGCAGCGGCTCACTAAGCTAATCTTCCGCCTGAGGTGCTGGCACCCCAGATTCTAGTCCAGGTCGGGGCACTGGATTCTGTCCCAGTTGCTCCTTTTCCAGGGCCAGCTCTCTGCTGTTGCCTGGGCGTGCAGTGGAGGATGGCCCAAGTGCTTGGGCCCTGCACCCGCATGGGAGACCAGGAGGAAGCACCTGGCTCCTGGCTTCAGATCTGTGCAGTGCGCCGGCTGCAACACGCCAGCCGTAGCGGCCACTTGGGGGGTGAACCAACGGAAAAGGGAAGACCTTTCTCTCTGTCTCTCTGTCTCTCTCTCTCTCTCACTGTCTTAACTCTGCTTGTCAAAAAAAAAAAAAAAGTAAAAGAAGATAATTATAATGATACAATCCAGCAAATTCTATTGTAGAAATAGGTAATAAGTGGTTTATGGAAACTGAAGAGTATCTAATTCTGAGTGACTCAGGAAATGCCTCACAGAGGAGTTTACATTTGATCTATGTCTTGATGAAAAAGTAGTAATTCCTCAAGTATAAAAAGTGAGATAGCTGGTGCCGCGGCTCAATAGGCTAATCCTCCACCTGTGGCGCCGGCACACCGGGTTCTAGTCCCGATCGGGGCACCGGATTCTGTCCCAGTTGCCCCTCTTCCAGTCCAGCTCTCTGCTGTGGCCCAGGAGTGCAGTGGAGGATGGCCCTTGGGCCCTGCACCCGCATGGGAGACCAGGAGAGGCACCTGGCTCCTGGCTTTGGATCAGTGCGTTGCGGCCATTTGAGGGTGAACCAATGGAAAAAAGGAAGGCATTTCTGTCTCTCTCTCTCTCTCTCTCTCTCTCTCTCTCACTGTCCACTCTGCCTGTCAAAAAATAAATAAAAATCAATAAATAAAAAAAGAAAAAAGAGTGAGATGAAGTAAGACAGGAGTCAAAATCCAGGCAGAGGAAACAGAACAGAACACTAGGTTTTGGTGCAGCATGGTAAGATAGCAGATGTTGAGCAGTTGGGTATTGGTAGATGACATGCTAAGCTAGGAAGCATGCACTTGCCTTTACAGACAAGGAAGATCTATTGGGGTTTTTAAACAACTCAGTGACAGCATCTGATGCAACCTTTAGTCAGTCCTTTGCATTCTCTCATTAAATTTTAGGTATTTGTCATTAGTAAAACCTACTGATTTATAGCAACCTATGACCTTTTTGAGCTCATTCATTGAGTAGGAATAGATCACTAGTTATATTCAATGAAGTGATTGGAACTCAGTGATTAAATTAATTAATCATGCTCACCTAGCTGGTTAATTGCATAGGTTAACAATCTTCGTCTCCTCTTAAATTATATGTCACTTTTCACCCTCTTAATTTGTTTTCCACACCTACATTTTATCCCCCATTGGAGGAATACCTATGGTTGGTACTTCATAAAGTGTGTGGAAAAAGGGAATTAAAAGATAATGTTTATTTTGGTGCAAAAAACCTTGGAAATTCATGAATATGAGGGGTCTTCAAAAGTTCTTGAAGATGAGTCTTTCAAACATGTGTATGATTTCAAATTATTTTGTATCAGATTAAATTTATCTTTCAATTCCATTTTCCACAAATGTTTTGAAGCACCTTTTTCTTTATGAGAAGATGTATGATGCTTGGGGAGAGATTTCTGTGTTTCAACACATCCTCAAATTTTCTTTCCTTTGAGTTGTAAATTTATTAACTTGTTCAAAGAAGGATGTGGAGGCATGAGTTTTAGTTTTTCTGAATATTCACCCTCAAGTACTATAATTCTAAATTTCCTAATACTTAATGATAACAGATAACAGGCAATATTCTAAAGTCATCCCAAGTAATAGTTGTAGTATCTCAATGAGGTTATTATCCTTGCCTTACAAATGAGATAACTGAGGTTCTGAGCTATTATGGAACAAGACCAGTGCCACAAAACTGTTCTTTTGTGAAGCTAGTATTTATAAAGTGCAGATTCCTCTCTTTGTTTTCTTGTGATAACCATGTTAGTTGTACCACACTCCAGGGTGGTTATGAGTGAAAACCATATTAAATAATGCTTTTAAGCAAAGTAGAAAATTTTTTTAAGATTTATTTATTCAGGGGCCCAAGGACTTGGGCCATCTTCCACTGCTTTCTCAGGCCATAGCATAGAACTGGATTGAAATTGGAGTAGCTGTGACTTGAACCGGCGTACATATGGGATGCCAGCACTGCAGGCAGAAGTTTACCCCACTACGCCACAGCACCAACTCAAAGTAGAAATTTGTTAGTGAATGCATAGAGCTAGCTTTCCCTTTGTTCCTCTCAAGATCAAAGAACATGTTGTTATTTTTGAATCCTGTGCTACTTTGTGCATCATTATGGTGTAGTAGATTAAAAGCTTGAGTCACTTAATTCAATTGAACAGCATCTAGAGTACTTTCATTTTCTAAAAAATTTTAAGATATACAAATTTCATGTATTTCATATATACAGATTTAGGCCTCCTGCCCATAATCTCACCCTTCTTTCTCCTCTCTCTCCTATTCCCACTATTAATTTTTACAAAGATGTACTTTCAGTTTACTTGATAAGCATAAGATTAACCATAAACTAAGTAAAGTGTTCAACAAATAGTATAGAAAAAGAAAAAGAAACACTATTCCTTCATAGTAGAAACAAGGGCTATAAGCAATTATTGAATCTCAGAAGTCAATTCATTCATTTACATTTTTGGTACTGTATTAGTTACGAGATATCAGGGAAAACATATGGTATCTGTCCTTTTGAGACTGGCTTGTTTCACTAGGTAAAATGGTTTCTAGCTGCATCCATTTTGTTGCAAAAATAGAATTTCATTTACTAACCACTGAGTAGTATTCTGTAGTGTATATATGCCATAATTTCTTTATGTGGTCATCTGTAGGTGGACATCTGGGTCGATTTCATATTTTAGCTATTGTGAATTGAGCTGCAATGAAAATGGGGGTACAGATCACTCTTTCTTACACTGATTTCATTCCCTTTATGTAAGTTCCAGGAGTGGGATTGCTGGATCTTATGGTAGATCTATTTCAAGCTCTATGAGGCATCTCCATACTGTCTTTCAAAGTGGCTATACCAGTTGACATTCCCACCAACAATGGATTAAGGTACTTTTTCCTCACATCCTTGCAAGCATGTATTTTTTGTTGATTTCTGAATGAGAGCCATTAAAACTGGGGTGAGGTGTAACTTCTTTGTAGTTTTGACTTGCATTTCTCTGATAGCTAGTGATCCTGAGCATTTTTTAAGCGTCTGTTGGTCATTTGAGTTTCCTCCTTTGAAAAATGCCTGTTCAAGTCCTTTGCCTTTTCATTACTAGATTGTTTAGTTTGTTATTATTGAGTTTCTTGAGCTCCTTATAGATTCTGGATATTAGTCTTGTATCAGTTTCACAGTTTGCAAATATTTTATCTCCATTCTGTCAGTTGATTCTTAATTTTGTTCAGTGTTTCTTTTGTCATACAGAAGCTTCTTAGCTTGCTGTAATCCCATTTGCCAATTTTGTATTTGATTGCCTGTGTTTCCAGGGGCTTTTCCAATTTAACTGCCAATTTAATTTCCTTTGGGTAAATTCCAAGGAGTGGGATGGCTGGGTCATGTGGTAGGGCTATATTCAGGTTTCTGAGGAATCTCAAAACTGACTTCCATAGTGGCCTTACCAGTTTGCATTCTCACCAACAGTGGATTAGTGTCCGTTTTCCCTCACATCCTCGCCAGTATCTGTTGTTAGTTGATTACTGTATGTAAGCCATTCTAACTGGGGTGAGGTGAAACCTCATCGTAGTTTTTTTGCATTTCCCTAATGGCTACTGATCCTGAACATTTTTTCATGTGTCTGTTGGCCGTTTGGATTTCTTCTTTTTTTTTTTTTTTTTTTAAATTTTATTTAATGCATATAATTTTCCAAAGTACGACTTATGGATTACAATGGCTTCCCCCCCATACCGTCCCTCCCACCCACAACCCTCCCCTTTCCCACTCCCTCTCCCCTTCCATTCACATCATGATTCATTTTCGATTATCTTAATATACAGAAGATCAGCTTAGTATACATTAAGTATGGATTTCAACAGTTTGCTCCCACACAGAAACATAAAGTGAAAAATAATAGATGATTTTTTTAAATGATGATGAAATCAGAGCAGACCTATTGTCATGTTTAATCCCAGTGAGAGTCAAGTTGGGAATTGATAATTTCTTTTTTTTTTTTTTTACAGAGGATCAGTTTAGTATGCATTAAGTAAGGATTTCATCAGTTTGCACCCCCATAGAAACACAAAGTGAAATATATTGTTTGAGTACTCGTTATAGCATTAAATCTCAATGTACAGCACATTAAGGATAGAGATCCTACATGAGGAGTAAGTGCACAGTGACTCCTGTTGTTGACTTTACCAATTGACACTCCTGTCTATGGCATCAGTAATCTCCCTATGCTCCAGTCATGAGTTTCCAAGGCTATGGAAGCCCTCTGAGTTCTCCGATTCTTATCTTGTTTAGACAAGGTCATAGTCAAAGTGGAGGTTCT